GGACCAAGAACTCCATCTGGGTCTCCCACATGAGTGGAAGGGGCCAAATCACTTGAGCCATCCTTCATTACTCCCCAGCATGCATTAGCTGTGTGATACTGGCATCCCAAGCATGGACTAACTCACTGCACCACAGTGCCTACCCAAGAGATTCCTTCTTTTCAAAGAGATTTGGGAAGATGATCAGTAAAAAGATATACAATGCTGAAGTATTTTCCATGTGTGTTGCAATTGTCAAGTATGACAAAATCAGTATTTGTAAGAAAATAATTTCATTACTGCTGCATGCAAATAATTATATATTTCTTTATTATCTTATAATATTCAAAGCATTTAAGTAAACTATAAACAATGTCATATAACTCATTTGTTCAAAATGAAATATCAGTTATAAATACTAACTATAAATAAGTTAATTTACATAGGCTGATAGTGTTGTACAACAGTAATTCACTGTACATTTCATGACACTGAAAACCAAAGGAATAATAGTTTTTTAAAAACCTACATTTCTGGGACTGGCATTGTGATATAGTGGGTAAAGCTGCCATCTGCAGTGCCAGCATCCCATATGGGTGCCCATTCAAGTCCTGGCTGCTCCTCTTCTGATTCAGTTCTCTGTTTTGTCCTGGAAAGCAGTAGAAGATGGCCCAAGTGCTTGGGCCCCTGCACCTGCATGAGAGACCCGGAAGAAATCTCTGGCTTCTGGCTTCAGATTGGCGCAGCTCCAGCCATTGCGGCCATCTGGGGAGTGAACCATCGGATGGAAGACCTCTCTCTCTCTGTATCTCTCTGCCTCTCTGTATCTCTCTGCCTCTCTGTAGCTCTGCCTTTCAAATAAATAAATAAATAAACCTAAAAAAAAACTACATTTCTGTTACTATCTTTTTGTGACATTTTATTGGTTTCAGGTGCAGATGTTAAAATTATGAAATCTGACAAATAGAATAAATATTATTTTAAAGGAAACTAATATTATATGACTACTAATATGCCAACAAACATTTCAACAAATTCAAGTATGAACTGATATATTGAACTGAGGGAATACAATATAGCTTTAATATATTTCTAGTCATTAAAGCAATTTCAAATATGAACTGATATTTTTAATTGACCTTACAGTGAATAGAATTATAATTTCAACATAATTTTAAATATTTTATATATAACAAAGACAATAGAATTAAATGATATAATAGCTGAAAATACATAGTAGTACAAATTTACTTGGAATGGAGTATGATCATTTTTAGATATACAAGAAAGGTTTGACTACTCATTTTAAGTGGCTTTGCCAAAAGGACAGTAGCTGAGTTCTGATTTCTTGCTTGTCCCTGTTTTGTTTGAGGACACATTTAGGGAGCAAGCTGATGTAGACTTAGAAGACTTCAATATTCAGAACTGCCACTAAATGAAAATCTCTAAAAAATAAGTAAAACAACTAAATATTATTACTATAAATAATAAATAAAACTAAAATAACAATAATAATATTATTGTTAAAATAATATTAAAAATAAAACAAGTAAGTAAAAATCTTATTAAAGTATACTAAAAAGTCAGTGACATTTCACTGTAAATACATTTCTGTCACAACAATAAAGTTGGCTTGTTAATTCAATTAATGCCCTTCTCTCATTAACAAAAGTTTTGGTTACTTGTTTCTTTGGTTCAAAATATGTAGTCTTGGAAGTATACACACTATAAATAGCTAATAGGGTTTAAATTCATTAGAATGTATCTCTTGTCTTTGGTTATATGTGGAGACAACTCCAAAGACCAGAGCAAACTGAATTGTCTAGGTAAGTCTGGGTACCCAGTTATTTTCACCAAAGTCTTTCATGATACTTAATACAACAGACTTTTCAGAAATTATTCAAACATTATAGGATTGGTAGCTGTATTCTGAATTAACTGTGTGATTGCTACAATTTTCTGATTTCTTTGTAATTTATATAAAAATATAAAGTCACTTAAACACTATTTTTAAAAGTAGCTACAATACAATTTTTCTATATAAGAACAAAATGTATGTTGAAGTTATTTTATTAATATGTTTAAATGGGAAACAAATGGGAAGGGCTTTGTTAGTTTTTGAATTGCATTTTCCTTTCTTAACTACATTATACTACAAAAGCAGTAAAATCAGGCAGAATTATATATTAAATGTACACTTTAAAATATATCATCTCATGTTTGTTTTTGCCACTTTTCACTTCACAAGCAAATGAAGCATCTATATAAGTTTAGAAATCACATAACTGAAAAAGAAATCAAAATCATGCTCAAATATATCCAAAATAATCATCACTCTGAAAAGCATGTCGAACTTATTTTAGAGGTGCATTATTGCCTGATTTAAAGGCAGACAGGGGCTGTGGGGCCACATTCCATGACAGAGAGCCTCTCGAGACCTCTTTGATCATTCTTTGTGATGCATAAAATATGTCACAGTTGTACTATAAAAGATATCAGCCATCAGGTAAGGCTGTCATTTGCTCTTGTAGTCTTATATTGGAAAAATACGGCTTTTCTCTCTAGTACTTGTATGGGATTACTGCTCATGAAAACACAGCCTATTTAGTCTGTGTGTGACCATTATCATACTCCTGGTTTCTTTCAAAAGAAAGTAGTCATAAATAAACATGCTAAAGAGAATAGATCTGGCTGATATTTTGTTTCAACATTCACCCATTTCGTAAGTTGTTATAGGCTGTGAATATGTTAAGTACTGGTCTACATGAAAGCTAGGTTCCACAGAAGGATTGCCTATTTCTCCAGAGACTAGTTTCTTTCATTTGATTTCTGTTCTGCATACATCTTAGTTTACTTCAAAAACTGGACCTATGTCACAAATAATATTTATAACAAAAGAACAATAGCAATAAACTATTCCAAAATGTTATGTTCTTACATCTCAGCTCTTCACATATTTTTTAAATTACACATATGTGTGTCCGTGTGTGAGAGAGAATTAGCTTTGCTAACATATTTAAAATAAACATAAGCATGCTTGTTTTGTGTGTTATGACCACTATCAGAATTGTGTCTCAAGTATTAACATATATAAAATATTTTACCTTATATTTGAACTAAAATTTCTTTCTATTTAAAAATGGTGATGAGACTCATTTAAATATTTATTTTGGAGGCAAAAGATAAAACATTTGGTAGAATACTTGGAAATATTTTAAGGTGAAATCTGATGGAAAGTTTTTTTCTTTGAAAACTTCAGTTACATTAGTATTAATTATGTTTAATGATTTAACTGGCTTCATGAATATTGCTAATATTTCATTGAGAGTTTGTCTAAATTATAGTAGTGTCACCTGAAAGCATTGTGACACAAAAACAACAAAAATCCAAACAAATAAGAAAAATAAACACCCTGAACATGTTTTAAATCTAACAGCTGACAAGAGTTTTGCTACAAGAATATAAATGTAGGTTTCAGATAATTATTATCTCTTTGGTAATTTGTTGCCTTTTTTAAAAATAAAAATTCTAAGTTCACTGTTTCGATCCTGCCAAATACTTCTGCTTGCACTTAAATGTATAGCAATTTATTTAATTTATAAATTGGGAGGGAGGACTGCTTTTTAATGCAGAAATAACATACGGTACAACAGCCCGGATCGATTAAAGGCCTCCATCTGGTGCAAGTCTAGAAAAGTTGCTGCCATATGTTTGAACAGCACAGCAACACTAACTGTTTTATACTGTCACCACTTCAAGACCTGTTTAATAAGTTGTTTTTGTTTTAATATATACATATTTAAATATAGCATCAGGTATATTTCATCTATGTCTATGTGCTTAATTGGGAAGCAGACACTATAAAAATTGTAAAGGCCCTTGGTCTTCGTGGTTCAGTGTGAAAGACAGTTGACAGGTTTAAGTAACCAAAGGGGAAAGAGAGGGAGACAAGAGACAGAGAGAGAGAGAGAGAGAGAGAGAGAGAGACTGACTTCACTATAAATTATTTACTAAATCTTAAACGTCTTGATTATTTCATAAAAATAGTTCATTTCTGAGGAGTACCAAAAAAGAATAATAATGAAAACAACTTAAAGGAGAAAATGTTATAAGATTCATGGTAATGCTAAAGACTAGTAACATCAAAATACATTCAGTAGTCCTGTTTTTTTTAAAGGTAAAATTTCATAAAGATAGATTTAAAAATCAGAATATATGTTGCTGTTGGAAAAATAACATATCAGGTTCAAATGAAATTTAGGAATGTTAATCTCTTTTGCAGCTGCTATTTTTGTTTTATGGTATTTTTACAGCTGTTTTTAATTTCTTTTAAGAAATACTAAACCTTTAGGAAAATTCCCATGTGAATAACCACAGTACAGATAATTGGTTTCATTGCAATTCAGATTATGAACATCATTTTTCAGTTGTTACTTTCAAACTATATACATAGCTAAATCTGTAAGCCATTTTCTTTATTCAGCTACTATCAAAAGGGGGAAAATCAGTTTAAAGCATCACAGAGCCTTATTCTTTATCTGATAGGTTGCAATGGCTAAAAATATTTACTTTTCTCAGTTGAGCATTAATATCTCCCATATAGTACATGCAGATGTAAGCTATAATTTTTATTTAAAAAAGCAGAACATACGGTCCGAAAACTCTTTCAGAACTATGATTACTTTAATACATTTCAGATTTGACATTATCATGCAATCCTACTTCTATACCTTACGTCTCTCCTTTGATTAATTATATCCACGGACTATATATCTTCATTGAGCAGCATCCTTGATTAGCAGCCACACCTATACCATGCAGTTGTTAATAGAAGCCACCCTTCCCATGCAAGCCGCAGGGGAAAGTAATTAAATTTAATAGAAGCCGTCTTTGTTTTATAGCCACCCTCAATTTAAAGCCACAGGGGTAAGTAATTAAATTTAATAGAAGCCATAGCTTCTAAACAAAGATATACAGTATCAGTTAGGTATGCAGAGGTATAGACATAAGACATACTCTACCTCGGGAGTTGTGAAGACTGTAGGTTTAAAGGAAGCAATGTTAAAAAATATAAAAGTTCAAAAAAGACTTTCTTAAGTGATTCAAAATGGGTGGAAAAGCTATGGTTGTCCCCTGCATTTTTTTTTAAAGGACAGTAAGAGAGGTGGGGCTGCAAGTTGCCCTTGCTAAATCACAATACCTTGGACACTTGCCTGCTGTGAGTACTGGATGGTCCTTTCTCATATAAGTTGGCCTAGTCCAACCTGGAATGCCTTAGATGGGTTAGCAGCTATTCATGAGAACATAAGGATTTCATGTATCTGTTCATTTATTCTAGATCTGAGCTAATCAATATTGGATGTAGTGTCTGTTCATTTGTTTCTTACAGGGACTACAAGTCCTCATGTAATTTATTCTGCCTGTAGCCAATGTTTTGTAAAACCTGGATCAAGACTAGAAGCACTGTTTGGGTGGTTAATTCCAATTCTTTCTAGGGAATGTTTTGGCAGTCTGTCTCACCACCCCACCTAAGCATTTTCATGGATATATTCATACGAAGAGCCTCATGAGGAAGTACTCTAGATATCACATTGATTAGAGTACAATTTTTGAGATATTTTCCTCAAAGTATTATGTGCCACATAATCACTTTTATTTCATTTTGAACTTTGGAACTGACTTTACAATTCCAAATTTTCAATTCATTAGGAGTATGCTTTAAAAATGCATAAACCTCATATTGGGAAAAATCCCCCAGTGGAAACTAAGCATCTGGTCACATATCTAGTGATAGTCTAAGTTCATTGCCTTTAAAAGATAGTTCATAATTACTTAAAGGGAGTGGAGAGGGGGAAACTCTGAGATTCAGCAGCCCAGATGGTGGAAGACAATAAAAGCTGCCTGTGGGCATATGGTGCACAGAGAGTGTACCTAGGGTGTGTTAATAAGGAAATTATTTTAAGTAGCCTGTGAGTATAATGTGTCTAAGGACTAAATTAGGCCTGGGGAAAGTATATGTAGGAGAAACACAAACAGGAAACATTTATAACATGCAAATATAGTCATCAAGTATCTCAATACGTAAGTTGTTCATTGTTAGTTCTTTAGTATCTGTTCTTAACACACATACTCACTTACTTATATTGTAGCTTATCAATGGAAAATGAAGTTTTGAAACTAATAGCTGTTATATAAACTAATTCAAAGAATACAAATCTCATGTGTGTTTGTAGCAAATATGTTCTTCACAATGAATCTCCGCACATGACATTGACTAGTGACAATTGAGAAATGGAAGGAAAAATTTCCAAATTTAACCCAGCACAATAACTCTCTTTTAATGAAAGAACTTTAAGTATCAATGTAATATTTATGTCCAGATTTATGATTGCCTCATTGAAATACTTTTTTTTCAAGATTCAAAATCTGAAGATTCAAAATGATCAGCATTAAATGTGAGAGACCATATCGGGCTCTCATCATTATCCCAACTTAACTGAGCAATTGATTCATATGCATATTCCCTTTTCCCCTTTTATCATTTTTTAGGATCAGACCATCTTCTTTTTCAATTTATTTCAATGGAGATTTCTCACTGGATTGGATTATTGAAAGAGAATAATTGCACAATGTTTTTCTATTCACCAGTCCTTGAGAAAAACCAATAACCCTTTTCTGGTTTTCTTTGGAGACTATATTTTTATCAGACTAGGAACATATTGTGAAGTCAGTTGCCTGCCACAGTTCTCAGACAGGCTTTTTCCTGGCTTGATTTTGTTGTGCATGGCCAAGGTGTATCATTGATCCTGTATGAAGTGACTTACATACACAGGGCAGTCCCAGATATTAAGAATTGCCTGTATTTTTAAAACATACTTATTTATTTATTTTTGAAAGTCAAAGTAGCACAGAAAGAGAGGGAGAGACACTAAGAGAGAGATCTTCCATGGCTGATTCACTCCCCAAACGCCTGCAGCAGCCGGAGCTCCGCTAAGTGGATGCCAGGGCCAGGTACTCCACTAGACTTTTCCAAATAGGAGGCAAGAACCCACATACTTGGACCATTTCCTATGGTGTCTCAGAAGTACTAGTACAAACAGGATGAAGAGCAGAGGTGAGACTCAAAACCAGGCACTCCAATATGGTAGGTGGTTGTCCTGAGGAGCAACTTAACCCTCTGCACCGCTACCCCACCCCTGCAATTCCTTGTATCAAATCACAAAACTTACCTGCTGAAAATTATATAGCAAATTTCTGTATTTTTACATTTCAGTGAGCTAAATGTGATAGAATTTTGGTTTTGTGTCTGTCTTCATTGACTTAAACCTGGAATGTGCTGGTAGTTTCTGATGGATGTAGAGAGGAAGGGCTTTTAAGGTGTCTTCAAATCCAGCCTTAACATGGAAAACACTTGCTACTTCTGGTAAAAAGCAACATCTGATATGTTTGTGCCAAAGATTTCAGTTCTTAATAAAATCCATGATTACTTTTTTATTACTTTATCTGTGGCAAAAGACTAAAAGGTAATCTAAAGGACTGAATTGACACTTTGAGGTGAGATGATTTTGAATAGCTCTTGTCTCGACTGTTGAGGATCAGTGTTTTTTTTTTATATACTATTTGTTCAGCTCTTTACATAATGTAGAGTTAATCTTACTAGTATAAAGTTAACTGAAAAAATAGATCTTTGAAAAAATAAGAGTGGGAATAGGAAAGGGAGGAGGAAGAAGGGTGGGAGCATGGGCGGGAGGGAGGGTGGGGTGGGAAGTATCACTGTGTTCCTGAATCTGTATATAGGAAATTCATGAAATTTGTATACTTTAAATAAAATTTCAAAAATAAAAAATAAAGGATAAAAAGAAATAAACTAAATGATAAACATTGTGTTGTTTGCTAATAATAATTTGAAGTATTGTACAAATACAAAGAAAACAGAGCAGGATGTTTAGGAATTTGATGATACCTTGTTATGGTTTATCAATATGTATATGCCTGTATATTTCTTCTTTTACACACACATACACATGTACAGATGTGGAATTGTACACATACATGCAGCAAATTGAAAAACTTATTTCTGTTGGAGATTCCTGGAGAAGTATATAAGCTGTAAAATGGTGATTACACACAAAACATGAAAGGACACTGTAATGAAAATAATTTCACTCAAAAGAATATGACACAGCTCTACAATAGTTTTCATAATGATTTCTGCTTGGATAAAAGGACACAAAAGTAGTTGGAGTATGGCTGAATATCAAGACAAGCATAACAGGAATGAAAATGTAGTTATAAATGCTGTGGACTCACCACTCCTGTCATCAGGGGAGTTGACAAGGAGCCCAGGGCCTCTGCTTTTCCTTTCATTCAGGAGAGAGGATTGAGACAGAAGAGATAAAGCCAAAACAGGAGAAGCAGCAACAAATGCAGAGAGCAGATATCCCTATGATTATCTAGTCAGCTAACTGAAAGCAATTCTCATATTAACTGAGTTAAACAGGACACTCACACACACACACACACACACACACATTTACTCTATGACTTACCAAAATGAAAATCAGTAGCACCAATATTCTGAAGCTCTGTTCCACAGAAGTGATTATTTATACATGTAAGTTGTGTTAAATTGAGTCTCTTCTGACTAGTTTTTCTGGGACATATGTATTTGACTCTAAATTAGATAAATAATTATATCAATCTACTTTTTAAAAAATAGTGTTGTGTGAGATTAGGAGTTTTTAAAAATTTGACAGTCAATTCAATGATGAATATGTTTTAAGTCTGCATGTATGATTACTTTGAACAACATGCTGGTTAGGTGGAGGAACATTGATGCTGAAATGAAACAATGAACTTTTGAACACTTAAGACTTATGAATAACGAGAGAAGCTTCTAGTTAGTACAATTGTGATATTTTGTTTTGTCTAATTACTATGTTTGTGCCCGTTCTGACATGTTTGTTCACAATCCTCTGCCCTAGACTCTCTGGCCAATTATGTTTTTGAATATTTTTTTCTGGTACCAAAAACAACTGCTAGTTTGTTATCTGTTGAGTGTGAATGAATGTAGATTTTTTAATTGGGGTTTAAAATTGATTAATGTGAGAATTATTATCTAACAAACTTTAAATTAAACAGTATGGTATTGTTAAATATGCACAATGTTCTACAGCAGTTGTTTCTTTCTTTTTCTTTTTTTGACAGGCAGAGTTAGAGAGAGAGAATGAGAGAAAGATCTTCCTTCTGTTGATTCACCCCCCAAGTGGCCGCCATGGCCGACGCTGCGCCAATCTGAAGCTAGGAGCCAGGTGCTTCTTCCCGGTCTCCCATGCAGGTGCAGGGACCCAAGCACTTGGGCCATCTTCCACTGCCCTCCCTCTGCAGAGAGCTGGACTGGAAGAGGAGCAACCGGGATAGAACCGGCGCCCCAACCGGCACTAGAACCCAGGTTGCAGGAGCCGCAGGTGCAGGATTAGCCTAGTGAGCTGTGGCGCTGGCCTTACAGCAGATTTCTAAATTGTTTCATGTTGCATGATTGCAACTTTATACTCAACGAACAGCAATTTCCAAATTCCCTCTGATGTAAGCCCTTGGCATGCAATATTTTGCTCTGTAATTGGGTAAGTTTGACTACCACAGACATACAGCTGGAATCACACAGTGTGTGTTCATCAGCCCTTACTTCATTAAGCTTAATGTCCTCAAAGTTCATCCATGTTGCAGCATATGGCAAGATTCCCTTCTTTTTAAATATACAGTAATATTTCATTATATGTGTATATCACATTTTCTTCATCTATTCTGTTGATGTACCATTTGCCTTTTTCCCTTCCACTTCATGGCTATTAGGAATATGAGTGTCCAAAGCTCTCATTAATATCCCGACTTCAGTTACATTAGCTAAATGTTCTAGGATTACTAGATCATTTGATTATTTTATTTGTAGTTTTTGGAGTTAACACTGTATCAGTTTCTACACTGACTGTGCCATCTCACATGTAAAACAGTACATTTTTCCACATCCTCACAAACATCATTATGGTATTATCAATTTCTTTGTTTTGCTTTGTTTTTAATAATGACAATCCAAACAGGTGTGAGATGATTTTTAATTCAATGGTATCTCTA